GTTTCTCTCTATTCCTGGATGTCCTGGATGGAAGTCACTTTGTAGACCAGGCTGGCCTTAGACTCACTTGCCTCTGCCTCCTGAGCGCTGGGATTAAAGATACCCAGTGAATTTTTTTCTTATATAAGACCTTATAGCCTGCAAAGCCTGAGATATTTATTCTCTGACCCTTGATGAATAATGTTTGGTAGGAAAAAAGTTTGCTGACTCCTGCTGTAAATAGTCTCTTAGTGGAAAGATCCTCCTCTCCCATCCTATATTGTACTTTAATGTGGGCCTTGATAGAAAATATTTAATTCAAATAACAAGTTTAAGTGATTTTTGAATTTAAGAATATAGTTTATTCTAGGAATGTTTTGTAATTGCATCACAAAAATTTTGCACACAGAACAAACTAGAAACAATTCCTTAATTCATGAAACTGGTATTGATAAACTCTCCAGACTATTCCTTGAAGAACGATTAAAGAGAGAAGCCCTCTTTGTAGATGAGGCTGGGTGACCCTTGTCATTGTCTTCTATTTGGCTTGGTAGAACCAAGGATTCTAATGTTTCTTGACTGAATGGATGAATGAAATGGGATACCAGGTGTGCAGCACCCCATTCAGGGGCAGCTTTAGTAAGTGGCAGTTATTAATATTGAACCTCTTACCATGTATTTGTTGCTCACAGCTAGAGTGGCTCAAATATTAGCATAAGATGATCCTTTAACTTCAGAAAGTAGTAAATTATCCTGTGCTTTTGCTTTTAACGGCTAATCATTTGATCATTGAAGTAACTATCACATTTAAATCACTTTAAATTAGAACTTAAGTATCAGGCTTTAAAAATGTGATATTAGGCAACAGTAGTTTGTTTGGGGACACTAAGTCATAGTCCTCCAATGAAAACAGTTTAAGTTACACACTCAGTGAATGAGTTATGCAAAGAAGTGTGAGTTGCCATACTTAAGGAATTTGTAGTGTGCTGGAAAAAAGTAGCTATACATGTTCAAAGTTAGGGAAAATATGAATTACTGTATTTTTTATTTTATTTTATTTATTCTCCTCTCCTCTGCATTTTCAGACTAAGTCTGAATCCAGACAGTCTTTTCACTTGCTGAGGATACCCTTGAACTCCTGATCCTCCTTCCTCCATTCCCCAAGTGCTGGATTACAGATGTATGCCACCACACCTGGCTTAAATATTTATTTTGTCTATAATAAATATGTGCTTTTTGGTCTGCTTTGGGGATCCAGTCCATAATCTCCTTTTCCTGTGTGTGATACACACAGTAGCAGTGTAACTTGATGAATTCAGTCAAAATATCATGATATAATTCACTTCCCATTTTCTCTGTGATCCTGTTGTTAGATGTTTCAGTATAAGAAACATCATCCAATGCTGTTTGTTTCCTGACTTGCTGTTGACAGTGAAATTAATTTGTATTTCCTAGTTTTGCTTTTCTAAAACTATTTCATGGCCTTGCTCATTTTATTTTTCAAGTAAGTAGGTATACTGTTTGCAGGGAGTGTGTAGGGAAAGCTTGGAGACAGCAATGATGTTTCAGCAGTTGATGTTTTAATATGTTAGTTACAGCCGGGCGTTGGTGGCGCACGCCTTTAATCCCAGCACTCGGGAGGCAGAGGCAGGTGGATCGAGGCCAGCCTGGGCTCCAAAGCTACACAGAGAAACCTTGTTTCGAAAAAAAACAAAAACAAAAACAAAAACAAAAAAACAAAACAAACAAACAAACAAAAGTTAGTTACACTTGGGGTTGCTTATTACAGCTTTGTGCAAGGAATAGTGGAAAGACTTAGGAGCTGGCCTTCATCTCAAAATCAAAACTTCTACTCCTCCGCCCTTTCAAAGAATTTAGGTGTATCTTTATACAATAGGACAAGAGAGGAAATAGAAATTATTAATAAAAACACATGGGAAATTTTCTAATTGTTCTTGGTTGCTAGCTTTCTAAGAACAGTGTTGGCCATTATAGAATTGAGGAGAACTTTTGAGCAGGTGACTCCTGTCCTATCCACATGTATCTCCTGTATTGTTTTTTTAATGATACTCAGCTTGTGTTGCTATGGATCTTGCATTTTCTTGCCTCTGTTGAAGTAAAGGTAGTTTCTAGAAGGCAAAAGGAAGCTATTTTTACAGAGCTTGATCATAACTTATTGACAAACATGTGTTTTACTATTGGCCTTTAATATGTTGGATGAGATCTAATGGTTTTAAAATTTGTTTTGTAGCATCCTGATAAAAATTCTATAAATTTAAAGAGCATAGGCAAAAGAGCAACCATCCTATGAAAAATAAACCTATTTGTTAGTAGGAGAAATAGCTAATGAGAACTGCAAAGTTGCTTAATTTTATTCATCTGATTGCTTCAATACTCCTGAATCCAAAGGTTTTAGAGAAAGGCCATGAAGTAGCAGCTTCTTCATGGGCCAAGGGGTATTCTAATCTCCTTTCATTGCTATTATTCAGATCCTATCTTGTGTTTTCTTTCAGCGTTGAAGTTAATAATTTTGATATTTAAAAGATAATAAATTTGATATTTATTCTCCTGTCATATCACTTTTCTGTCTTCAGATATGATTTTCTCAGATCTTTTAAGTAGTAGCCTCAATGGAAGATCAGATTTGAAGACATTATTATTCTTTAGTAGTACACAGGAACAAGACATGACTCTTAATTTCAGTCTTATTTTTTTCCTTGCTTAACTACTGTCTTAAGACATTTACCTTGAGTTTGTAGATGCATGATTATTTCAGTTCACTTTAAAAGTCAACAAACAAAACATATTTTATATGAAAGTATCTGTGACTTATACTTTTCTGAATCAATGGTGTAAAATTGGCATATCTAAATCTACATAGTTAAAAAATTTTTAATCATGAACTTTTGCTAGTATAGCTACTATATAACATTTTAAGTTGAGAACTTATTGATGCCAAATCCACCCATCTTAAAATGTAAAATTTTGAAATCAAAATAGCAAGTTGTAAAACTATATGGAAGTGTTTCCTTTTTATTTGAAAATAATTATATAAAAAGATATGTTTGTATGTACGTGAAGGTCTGTAAGTTAAATTCTAAGATATTTGTGGAAGTTGATTTATTTTATATATTTCTGTATTTTCTTTTTTGAAAGGGAGTCAGGAAAAAAGGTGGACTTAAAAGAAGTCAGTAGTAAATATTAAGTGAAATTAGTTTTGAGAAGTATTTCTTCAAAAAAGGAGTTTCCTAAGCCTTGAGAGCCATTTTAATGACTTACTTTTAGGGTTCTACATAATGTATCCATCTAGGACAAAATGATTTAATAGGTCCTAGCAGTCTGATAGTCCAGTAAATTCAGCAGCATTATAAAAGAGAGATAGTGTAATTGAGTAAAAAGTCTGAAGATATGAAAAACTAATTCTGTACCTGTAGTTATCTTAGTTTCTCAGTATGTTAATTAATTAATGTGATCACCACAGAAACCAAAAAGCAATTTGGTGCAAATATCATGATATAATTTGCATTCCATTTTCTCTGTGAGTGTAAGTTGTTAGATATTGCAACATATGTAACGTAAACCACAAGTCAGCTGTTTCCTGCTTCACTGTTGACAAGGGCCCCATTCATAACTCTTCTTTTATCCTTTCAGTGAATAAGTAATTATTCAATATAGAAGGCAGGATATTTGGAACTGGCTATTTAATGTGGCAGCACTCTGTAATGAAATCTGCTGTTACTGGCAACCTGAGAGGGGAATGTAACAATTCCAGCATGACTGTAACTTTATCTGCTTTGACTGAATGTTTATTTGGCACATCAGTGAACCTTTTATCCCAGTGAGTGACAGCTCCAGAAGGGTCACATTTACATCCATTCTATCATGTATTGTAATATTTAATGGTAGACAAGGTTGAGCGAGACTAGGAGTAATTTGAACTTGCTTTTCCACTGAGCAGAGGCTAAAAGACAGCTTGATCTCCAGTATTGTGGTGTAACATACTATGACTTATCATTTGTTTATGAAGGCTAATCTTACTGATTACAATTTTTAATGCAGTAAGTAGAGTATGTGTTCTACAAAACTGAATCTTTCCAGTGTGAATTCTTTTAAATGAGTGTGCTGCTTGCCTTTTTCCCTATCAGCGATTGTTTCCCAGCATTTCTCTTAAATGGAGCTTCATTCTGTCTCATTTGGGAGAGGAACTGAAGCTTTAAAGGGGATATTTGTTAAGAATCTGTGAATTCTCATAGCATTAAACTTGCAAAAAAGGGGGATAGGCAGATTTTGGAAACAAAATCAGGTAAATTTTAGACTGTTCTTGAGGTTCCATTGCTGTGCTTAAAGAGGCATTTGCATGATTTCATTTACAATACTGAGTTACTAGTGAGCTTGTCCAGGATGAGCTATTTTGCTAACAGTTTTTTGGTGGGTTTTCATTTTGCACATGTAATTGGGTTTCAGACATTCTTGTTCCATGCAAGCAACCTGTTTTCACTCACTGTTAAATGTTGATGTTTTTGTATTCATTTTCATGCCTTTGCTGGAGAAGAATTTTCTTTACTTATTTTGTAGTGGTGGTTAAGATTCGACTTGTTATGTCTATTCTTTTGTTAAACACATTTCAAATACTTTTTACAAACAGAATATTTGAGCCATGCTGTGAGAAAAATTATCAGTTCTATAATGTCACAGTGACCCAAGAGAAATTGAAATGGTCTTCCAATCTGTCATATCATTTAAAAACTATAATTTTATAAAAGAGACGTGTTAAGATGTACTTTAAACATCTGGAATTAAATGTCAGAAAGAATGTAAATATGGAAGCATTGTTTATAACTTGGAGAAGATAGAGAACTAATCTGTGGGTAGTGTGTAGTTTCTTCAGTGATGCATTTAGAGACTGTACTGAGAGCTGCTTGGACCATGAGGGTTCATTACTGAAGGGCTTTGATTCTGAAAGGTGGTACAGTGTTTGTTGTGGTGGCCCAGACAGTTTCTGTTTTCTTTCCTTGTTTCAGCTCGATGGCCTCTGTTCTAGGTGCTGCTGTTCTACCAAACAAGGAAACAGTGAAGAGTCTGCAAATACTGTTAAGAAAGATCACGGGGGACAATCCAAGAGACCCAAAATTTATTTTGGGACACGCACGCACAAGCAGATTGCTCAGATTACTAGAGAGCTCCAAAAGACAGCTTACTCAGGGGTCCCCATGACTATTCTTTCCAGTAGGGATCATACCTGTGTTCATCCTGAAGTGATGGGCAACTTCAACAGAAATGAAAAGTGCATGGAATTGCTGGATGTAAAACAGGTGAGTAGAATTACTTTGATGAAAGAAGAATAAAGTGAAAAGATTCAAATTTCTTGATACATGTTCTGTGTACTTTTCTAGTGATGATTAAATAATATGAAAATCAAATTAATTACCACCTTTGATTATTTCATGAAACATATTTTACCATAAGAAAATCTTAATTCACATTTAAACTTGATAGATTTTGGTTTTAAAACTTATAGATATTTAATTCCATGACATTAATTTCTGTTGTATTCAGATGTAATCTTTTTTCTTTTAAATCCTTCTACCCAATAGTTGAACATGAGTGATGTCAGATGAGGGGATAAAAATATTTTAAGAATATTATCTAATTAGATCTAATGAACATATTTGATATTTAAAAACTTCAAAATAAGATAGTTTAAACAGCCAATTTAGAATTTTTAATATTGAAATCCATGATTATTCTAATTTATAGTTCTAATTAGTACAGATTTTTTTAAATTATATAAGATTATTAGGTTTAAAGCCATGTTACACAATTTCTAAGGAAATTGGAATGGTATGAATTTTTAGGATGGGTAGAATGATCAAAGACATGCTTTTGTAAATACCATTTTACTACTGGGCAGTATATTTTGGGAGTCTGTATTTGGTGTAGCTGATTTGCTTGAAAATTGAAGTTGCAATTATGAGATTGTACTCTGAAATAGTCAGTGAGTCAGTATATAAAGTGAGCAATATTATATTTTGGGATTTTTTTGTCTATTATTTTATCAGAGTTGATTCTACATAAAAGACTATATGTTACAGTCCCAAGATTTTGTTTCATTGATGGATTACCTATCATGTAATATGAATAAATTATGTTTTATTGTTTAGTCTTGCTTAGTTTTTTTATTTTAACCAGGTGAGAGTTTCCTTGGTCTTTTCTTTTTCTTTTTTTCATGCCCAGTCAAGATCTATTTTAATAGCTACTTAGTTGTATGTAATAGGAGAGACTTTACTGTGTAAGTAAGGGTTCTGTGGGCTTATTCAGAACAAAGAAGACAATATAGAATTAGTCAATCAAAATCATTATTGGAATTCTATAGTCTTATTTGTTGCCATTTAAGTTTTTTCTAACTAGATGAAGAATTATGTGGAATATCTTCACTGTATATGTTTTAAAGGTACTCCAGGAAAAGGGTTTTGTGGTAAAACTACAAATACCATGTTTAAATAAACCTTTTTCCATGAGTTACTAACTGCTCTGCTAAACTCAAGTGCTGACTACTATTGTCATCTCACATTTTAAAAATATTTTTTTACTTGTTCTTAGCAAAATTATTACACATTTGTAGGAAATACATGTTAAAATATGTTGATGAAAGCAATGAAAAAGTTTAAGGCAAATAGTCTTATTTTGTATAATATTCTAGAATCCTGCAGTACTGGTTGTGTTTGATTTTTATTCTCAGAAGTATGAAGCATATAAAATAATTTAGTAGACTTGGATGCTGAGAACTTTCCATTGGCTTGAAATGAATAACTGATTTGGTTTTGAATATTAGTGCTGTAAGTAAGCACAGATAGCTGCTTGTGGCGTGCTGTACCCTAGCTCTGTGTCAGAGTGCTTACCTCCTGGGTGTACATGAGTGTTCTTTTTCTTGTTCCCAAGCCCTCTGAGTAATTTGGTATTGTAATGAGGACCAATTACAAAGTCACCATAGGTGTCTGTGTTTACTATGGCTGATTTACCAAAGAGAAATGATAAATAGATAACTGACATTGAGTGAGAAGAGCTTAAAGTGTGATAACACTGCAGCCGACAGACTCCCTTCTGGGTTCTGTTACATGGCTAAAAGGGATGAGTTTTTGGCTTCACTATCAGTCTGCACAGAGCTGTCTAACAGCCCTTAAAGTGTAAACTTTCTGATTATTTGGCTTGATCTGAAGGTACACATGTTTTTGTACATGATTTCTTTTAAAGTGCCCACCATACTGGAAAGATAGTCTGTTAAAATTATTTTTTTTTGTTTCAATGAAGAAAACTAAAGTTGAGCCTGGAATGCCAGTTTTTTAACGAGTTTTAGATATAAACTCTCTTGTTCTTTAAAAATTCAAACGAAGCAGCTGAGGTTGCTCAGAAGTTAGAACAGGAGCTGCCCTTCAGAGGATCAGGGTTCAGTTTCCAACACCACACGACAGCTCACAACCATCTGTAACTCCAGTTCCAGAGGATCTGACACCCTCTGTGGGCACCAGGCATGCATGTGGTGCGCACACACATACAGACAGCACACACTTGCATATAAAATAAAAATGAATAATAATTTTTTAAGGAAAATGATATGGGTATTGTGGCGCACACTGGTAATACCAGTGCTCTAGAGGGTCCTACAAAATAGCAGACTTAGGAAGAGCCTGCTTAGCTGGGTGGTGGTGGCGCATGCCTTTAGTCCCAGCACTCGGGAGGCAGAGGCAGGCAGACTCTGTGAGTTCGAGACCAGCCTGGTCTACAAGAGCTAGTTCCAGGATAGGCTCCAAAGCCACAGAGAAACCCTATCTCCAAAAAACAAAAAACAAAACAACAACAACAAAAAAGAAGAGCCTGCTTTCCCTTACCCAGAAAGAAAAGAAATAAAAGTAACACATGGAGTAACTCAGGTACATGCATATACGAGTCAAAGCTTGCCCAGTATAATTCCGGTCATCCAGCTCCTTCTGTCCTCTAACCCTTCAAGGAAACTGTTGTAAACTTCTGTGTGTATTTTGCCAGAAAGTTTAAAAACAGATATTATTTGCTAGAGTATATATGCATATTTATTCTTTAAGCAAGGACATTTTACACAAACTTAGTCATACTTTTACACATTTGGTGACTATTTTTCTCATCATAGCATCATTAGAGAACCTAACAAATAGCACACTCACTTAAAAGTGTATATCATTTGATTTGTTTTTTAAACAAAGTCTCATTATGTAGCTTTGGCTGGCCTGGAACTCGCTCTGTAGATCAGACTGGCCTCAAACTCTGAGATCTGCCTGCCTCTGCCTCCTGAGTGCTGGGATGAAAGGCAAATGCAACTGAACCTGCCCTTAAAAGGGTGTATCTTTTTAAAAATTACTTAACATGTCTGCTATTGGTCATAGAAATTGGGTTTAGTTATAGTTTTGGTTTTTTTTTTTTTTTTTTTTTTTTTTTTTTTTTTTTTTTTTTTGCTATGAAACTGTCGTGTATCTAATTTTTGTCATCAGTGTACATTGATAATAAAAATCAGAACTTTGATGTTTTGGCAAATTGTATATTATTATTCAAAGCTTCTAGTATTTTTATTACTCAAGGCTTAAACTTTTGTTAATTTTTTTGTAATATGACTATTAGTTTCATGCGTTTTATTTATTCATTCTCTTATTTAATTAAATTATTGTTTTAATTGGGAATATTGCTATGGAGCTCAGTAGACCTTAAATTTATCCTCCAGCCTCAGTTTCCCATGTGCTTGGTTGGATTACTGGCACCTGCCACATGCTGAGCTAATTTTAGGCAACTTAGATTTTTTTTTTAATGTGTATGTATGTGATGAGCCTTCATGCACACACTACATGTGTGAAGGCCAGAAGAGGGCATCACATGCCCAGTACTGGAGTTAAGGTGGTTGTGAGTTGCCATGTGTGTGCTATGAACCAAACCCAGGTCTTTTGCAAGAGCAATAAGTACTCTTTATCACTGAGATGTCTCTCTTGCCCCCATTTTCATACAGTGAAAATTGATATATGACATATTCATACTCGGAGTGAGCTAACAAAATTTTATTTTTTTTATAAATTTTAATTTTTTATTGATACTTGTAATATATATTTTACTTCCAACAACATACTAGCAAAGACATTAATAGATAACATGAAGAAATAGAAATTACCAGGTGGTGGTGGCGCACGCCTTTAACTCCAGCACTTGGGAGACAGAGGCAGGCAGATCTCTGTGAGTTCGAGGCCAGCCTGGTTTACAAAGCTATACAGAGAAACCCTGACTCCGGAAAAAAAAAGAAAGGAAGGAATAAAGCAAGCAAGCAAGCAATAGAAATCACTGTGGTCCTTCTGGTGAATGTTCATACAAGGACTAGAGATTGTGACTCAGTGAGGTCCCAGACTCAGTATCCAGTACCACACACACAAGGGTGTTCATTCAAAGAAATGTTATACCTTGATAGACAGAAATTATAGAAAGTACAAATCAAAAGGTTTTGTTTTTCACATAGGCAAAGATGGGGACTGGGTAGTTGGCTCAGCTGAGGTGCTTGTCTTGCAGACATGAGGACAGTCTACATGCCTGGTATGAGGGAAACTAGTTCAGTCCTGTCACATTAACTCAGTATACAGATATGAACAACAGTGAAATGAAGTTTTCTTGATAGCAGTTTGTTTTTATCTTAATATTGGGCCATTTTATATAGATGTAACTTTTTGTACATGTATATAAGAAAAACATGAGATACATGAAGATGTCAATAGTATATGTTTTGATTAATATAATTTGGAATTTTGGGGGTACTCTTATATTTTATGATTTTTTTTTGTAGTTATCCCTCTTTATTTTTTCCCTCAAGATAGTCCTGCCTTATTTCTTTCTCCTCCCCTTCCATTTTCCCCTCCTCTCCCTTTCTTATTTCCTTCTTTCTAATATTGTCACATGGCTTAAATTTGAAAAGACAAGAGAATCAAGAGAAATTTCCCCTTATGCCTGTCACCTAATTCTAATCTAAAAGCAGCAGGAAATGCCATTGCTTTGTTCATCCTTCTAGAAATGCTTCATGGCTAATGGCACAGCTACATCAAACAATATAAATATGTTTTTCTTGTTTATTTTGTATTGGGAGTTCTTTCTCATTCTGAGTCAACTACTACAATTTCTTTGAATATAATGGTTTTGAATATAACTTGTAATTCCAGCTACTTGGGAGGGTGAAGCGGGGGATCACTTGAGCCCAAGAGTTCAAAGTCAATATGGGCAACATAGTGAGATTCCTGTGTCTTGGCAGGAAGATAGGTTGTGATTATAAATACAGAAGTATTTGTTTTCTCTATAAAGTATTAGCTTTTGGCTTTAGCGATCTTTTTACAGTTCTGAGATAATCTTAACTTTATTCCTTCTATTCCAGAATTGGCTCACATTTCAGTTTTGTCTGTTTTCAGGGTAAATCCTGCTATTTTTATCATGGTGTCCATAGAATTAATAATCAGCACACATTGCAGTCCTTTCCGGGAATGTCCAAAGCCTGGGACATAGAAGAGCTTGTCAGCCTCGGGAGGAAACTGAAGGCATGTCCCTACTACACAGCTCGGGAACTGATAGATGAGGCTGACATAATATTTTGTCCCTACAACTACCTCTTGGATGCACAAATACGGGAAAGTGTGAGTATATGTGAAAATTAGAACTTTCCCCTACTTATGGGATAAAAGTGATGAATGTAAAGGCTTTTAGATGTTTTATGCCTTTCCCCCTCTGTATTGAATTTATGTAGTGCACTGAAAACATGTTCTAAGGTGAATTAAGAAGTGACTTTTAAATCCAGTTATTCTAATTTCCAAAGTAATAAACAGTTAAGGCTCTAATGGACTGAAACGGAACTGTAGTGTGTTCCTTAGGCTTGACTTGAGTCTTCACATTAGTCTGGAGGAATCTTGGCTGTGATGGGATGTCTCTGCTTTGTGATGTTTAGAATCCTTACAGTTGTCACTGTCTGAGATACCTCTAGACATTGCCCAATGTCCAAATTACCCCCGTGGAACAAAATTGTCCCCATTGAAGACCATTATATAACTGTTGTTCTCTCCATTTATGAAGTTGAGAATTATTTAAAAACATTTCTCTGGGGGAAAAATAACTGTTTTTGAAGAAGTTATATTAAGAGGATAAGTACTATGAAAGTTGGGCTTTGTGAATTTTTTTTTTTTAAGATTTTATTTATTAAGTATACAGTCTCTGTCTGCATATGCCCTGCACGCCAACAGAGGGCACCAGATCTCATTCAAGGTGGTTGTGAGACACCCCATGTAGCTGCTGGGAATTGAACTCAGGACCTCTGGAAGAGCAGTCAGTGCTCTTAACCTCTGAGCCATCTCTTCAGCCCGCTTTGTGAATTTTTTAGTAGTCAACTTTATATTGTATTCATTTGCCTTGTTCTTACAGAGGTTATCATTGCTATAGCCTAAGACAAAGAGTAAACAGTTTGCGGTAATCAGTTACTGCTTTCCTTAGGTGTCACTGTAGACTTCATATTAGCTGTCTGTTTCTTTTCTAGGCTTGTTGAGACAGGATTTCATGTAGCCCAGATTAGCCTTGAACTTGTTAGGTAGCTGAGGATGACCTTGAACTTCTAGTCCTTCTGCTTCTACTGCCCAAGTGTCAGGATTGCAGGTGCATGCTGCCATACCAGCTTTTGTGGTGCTAGGAATCAAACCCAGGGCTTCATGAATGCTAGGCAAGTACTCTGCCAACTGAGTCATAGCTCCAGCTCCAGCTTTTAAAGTTCAGAATTAATAGACATTTAAATTTTTATATTTTTAATTTTTTTATTTTATGTATATGAGTGTTTGCCAGATACATAATGTATGCCTATATAGCATATGTGTGAGGTGACCACAGAAGCCAAAAGAGGGTATTGGATCCCCCACAAACTAAAGTTACAGACAGCTTTGAGCCCTCATGTGAGTGTTGGAAATTGAACCCAGGTCTTTTATGAGCAGCCAGTGCCTTTAGCCACAGAGCTTTCTCTCTCCAGCCTCGATAAGCAAATTTTATTTACTACCATACTATTACTCTGCTGCTGTACCTTTTATTGGTTAACTCTTTATTAGGCATCAGATATAACAGTGTTAGTGATGGTAGTCTTCATAATGTTACTTTTATTCTATCATTCCTCTACTTGAAAATTTATTTCTCCCTTTGCTCTGGGATAGAGTTCATATTTAACTTCCATTTTCAAGATGCTCAGTAGTCTGACATAGAACTGCCCTTTCAGCCTTTACTAAAACTCCCAACTAGAGCCCTTGAGTATGCCTTAGAACTGCTCAGGGATTCATGTGTTTCTGCTTTTGATTTCACCTGCTGAAATGCTCTGCCTTGCTCCTGTCCTCCTCGGAATTCCTGCTTTTTACCCTTAGTCTACTTTTGTTCGTCCATAATTCTTTTTCAGCCACTCCCAGACCTGTGTCTGTTATTACTTTCTCAAAATAATTTATTGGAGTCTACTTTAATAAAATGTCCTTGTTTTGTTACTTGAGATTTTCAATTGCAAGTTAAACAAACCAAACTTGAAAAGTGTTTAAGAAGAAATAGTCAACTTTCTCTTTATTGTGATGGCTTTTTTCTTAGGAAGTCCTTTTCTTGTGGGACCAAGAACAACCACAAGCAGTTAGCTAATCTGGAGGAAAGAATATGAGCTTGCATGCATCCCCTCCAGTTGCTCTGTTTGGCCCAGCATAGATGGCATTTCCATTCCTAAATCTGATCCAGCTTCTGACCATAGAGGATGGGAATACTTTAGCTGATGAGCCTGGTTCTGAGCTTTATTTTACCCTTGCTGTGAGAGACATGAGATTAGTGGCCTTACCATCATCATGTTGGTGAAGAGCAGTGTTGATAGGTCCGGTAAAAAAAACGAGACAGACATGTACGGCACTACTTCATGTTAGTTTTTTGGGAATCATTGAGTCTGCATTCTTGTTTCCCTTCTAAAGGATTTCTGTTCAGGAATAGGGCTGCAGCTTACATAACAAGCAACATATACACACACACACACACACACACACACACACACACACACACACACACACACACACACACACACTTGGTAATCAGTGTTAACACTGTACTGAAAGCTTCTTTACTGTATAATCATATACCCTCTGTGTTGTCAGTGGTACTTTCATCCCTGCTCAGTTGATAGGCACATGTTCTTGAGAGGTTGGTTGCCAAGTTTTCTTAGAGTGAAAACGGTGAGCTCTGTGGTGTAGAACTGGTATCTGGTAGATGTTAGTGCTCCTGAAATTGTTTTAAGGCTTGAGTGTATCAGTTCTTCAATGTAAATTACACAAGCAATATTGGCCTGTATTGTGAATTTTTCAATGAAATCTTTTGTCTGCTGCTGTTAAATTCATTTTGTCAAATGTTTTCTTTTCTTTCTTTTTTTAAAATTTATTTATCATGTATATGGTATTCTGTCTGCATGTATCTCTGCATGCCAGAAGAGGGCATCAGATCTCATAATGAATGGTTGTGAGCCATCATGTGGTTGCTGAGAAAAGAACTCAGAACCTCTGGAAGACCAGCTAGTGCTCTTAACCACTGAACCATCTCTCCAGCCCTGTCAAATATTTTAATAGAGAATTATTTTATCTTACAGATGGATATAAAGCTGAAAGACCAAGTTGTCATTTTAGATGAAGCTCATAACATTGAAGAGTGTGCTCGGGAATCAGCAAGCTACAGTGTAACAGAAGTTCAGCTTAGGTTTGCTCGGGATGAGTTGGACAGTTTGATCAACAGTAATGTAAGGAAGAAAAACCATGAGCCCCTACGAGATGTGTGCTATAACCTCATTAAGTAAGCATTTTTGTCTGACAGTGCTTTGTATTGTCTTTTTGTATTAAAGATATGTTTTATGTCAGGTCATTTTAAAGTTAGGGACTAAAGAGATGACTCAGTGGTTAAGAGTGCTTGCTGTTCTTGCAGAGGACCTGAGTTCAGTACCCAGCACCCACATCTGACAGCTCACAATCACCTATAATTCCAACTCCAGGGGATCTAATGCCTTCTTCTGGTTTCCTTGAGTACCTGCACACATGTGGCATACATTCACACAGATACATACACAAACATATAAGTATAAAATTAATTTAGTAGACTTCGACTAACCAGACTATCTGGGAAATGGGTTGTTCTTTACCAGTTTAACTTTTTTTTTTTAAGTTAGTCATATTTTCTGTCTTATTCAAAAGACTAATGAAAGTAATTGATTTCTAAAAGTTAATAATTTCAAGAACCCATTTTTGATTCAGTAGAATTATTAACAGAAATTAAACATTTTAAATTCTGGGTCATAGTCTTGTTTTAGGTTCATTTTATTATTTTATGTGTGTGGGTGCTTTGGTTGCATGTATTATGTAAGTGTATCGCATGAGTGCCCACATAGGGAAGAAGAGAGCATTAAATCCCCTGGGATTAGAGTTATAGATAGTTGTGAACCACTATGTGGGTGCTGGGAATTAAACCTGGGCAAGAATAGGGTTCTAGTTAGGGTTTCGATTTTTGCAATGAAATATTATGACTAAAAAGCAAGTTGGGGAGAAAAAGGTTTATTTAGCTTATACTGCCACATTATAGTCATTATTGAAGGAAGCCAGGACAGGAACTCAAACAGGGCAGACAGGTAGAGGCAGGAACTGATGCAGAGGTCATGGGATAGAGGGTTGCTTACTGGCTTACTCTTCACGGCTTGCTCAGCCTACATTCTTAAAGAATCCAGGATCACCAGCCCAAGGATGGCACCATTATCCACAGTGGGCTGGGCACTCCCCCATCAATTGCTAAGAAAAAGTCCTACAGGCTTTCCTACAGCCTTATTTTATGGAGTCATTTTCTCAATTGAGGGTCCCTCCCCTTAAATGACTCTAGCTTGTGTCATGTTGACATTAAATTATCCAGCGTAAGCAGCAAGGGCTCTTAACTGCTATGTCAACTCTCCAGTGCCTCGTGGCTTTATTTATCACATCATCCTCCAATTCAAATATGATTCTAGTTTGGTGGGTTTCAATTAATGGGGAGATTTCAGTACTTAAAAAAATAGATTTAGGGGCTGGAGAGATGGCTCAGAGGTTAAGAGCACTGACTGCTCTTCAGAGGTCCTGAGTTCAAATCCCAGCAACCACATGGTGGCTCACAACCATCTATAATGAAATCTTGTGCCCTCTTCCGGCCTGCAAGCATACATGCAGGCAGAACATTGTATACATAATAAATAAAATCTTTAAAAACAGATTTAGTATAAATTTTACTAAAATTTACATTAGACAATTTCTCTCTCATACTTTGTTGTAGAATCATATTATCTTAAAAGTTTTCTGACTACATCTCATTGCATACATTGTTATATTTTCTTCCTTCATTGTATACATTGAAAATTTTAAATGTACAGTCACATGGTTTGAACATAATCTATACATATTTAGTAAAAGCTACCTTTTATCCCATCCCTTATTTGTTTAGTCCTTGTTCTCCTAAACAAGGTTATTGAGGGCAATTTTTTATTTATATGAGTCAATATAGATAAATGCTCTTGGTCCTTACTTTTTCCCAAATGATGGCATGTTATACATGGTACTTATTGCATTTGACTTTTCATTTTTGAGATGATCTGTCACTGAATTTAGAGCTTACCAATTTGGCTAGCCTCTGGGATCTGTGTATCTCTGCCACCCTAGCTCCAGGGTTATGGATATGTTCTGCCATGATTGCTTTTTGATGGTGCTTAAGGACCCAAACTCAGGTCCCCGTACTTGTGCAAATCAATACTTCAGCCACTAAGTTATCCTTTCCCCCATCTCATTCCTTATATTCTTTGTGTTTGATTTTGGATTAGTTCCTGGCCACTGATCATCCTTTACTTGTTACCAAAGTTTTCACAACTTCTATGTTCAGTTTCTTGACCTCCATATGGGGTTGTAACCCAGTTTGAGAGCTTTGGGATTGGCTATTATTTACAGTACTGCTGAGGCCTAAATCTGTCTCTCTAACCCTAACCTCTCCCTGGAGTATGATTCTCATAGTCAGTTATGTGTATATCTCTGTTAAGATAGCCAATATATTTCAGCTTTAAATCCAGAATAGGATTCCTCCATTTCCTCTGTCTACTGTCTCTTCACCTTCTACATCCAGTCTTTCACATCCAATAGAGCCTATCAGTTCCTCAAATCAAATTTCTACACACTGTCTTTGATCACTGTTTCACCGCATCAGCCAGCTAGTCATTAAGTCTTCCAGGTGCTGCTTGTACAGCGTGTCCCAAATCCATCTGTTTTTTTCACTCTGTGTCTATGGTGATCTGGAATATTGTGATAGCTTCCAATTTGACTTTCTCTCTCTTATAATCCATTCTGCCTTGGAAGTTGGAATCATCCTTTAAGCACTTAAATACTCACTTTCTTATTTAAAACTCTACTTCAAGCTTTGGGTATAACCTACATTTCTTATCCTTGTTCTAACTAATCTGATTCTAGTTTATCCCTGTAATGTTGTTTGTACTATTATTTATTATTGCCCATTGTGATGACCATACTGGATTTCTTTCAGGCCCTCAAAGGAGCAGAACTTGCTAACTTTGCACCAGCTATTCCTTGTGTTTTGAAGCATTTTTTTTAAATCCCCTCTGAGATTGGCCACTTTTCTGCATTCAGTTGTTAGAAATTCATTTCTGGGCGAGTATCACAGACCTTCAGATTAAAGTAGTTAAGTAGCCACCAACTTGTGATGAACTTTATTTTTGTGTATATCACTACTTCTTCCTGTGGTACTGGGAATTGAACCCAGTTCATGGATGTTAAGCAAGCACTCTACTCCTGAGCTCTATCTTTTGCCCTGAAATTTACTTCCTTATGTATTTGTTTTTGTGTTTATAAGGCCCAGCAGAGTAGGGAGACTAAGAAGAGGAAAGGAACAGGGATAATGGCTGACTGCCATGGCCGGGCGCCATAGACAGACAGAGAGAGAGCATAGGGGGGAGACAGAGTAGAGAGAAAGCAGGGAGAGGAAGCAGAGCGGAAACAGAGCTTAGTAGACTTTAATTTCCATAAGAATAGGATTTTGCTTACTTTGTATACTGCCATAACTTCTACTTGGATCTTTGGTATAAAATTGACATTCAAGTAATTATTAAGTGAGTATACATATCAATAAATATATTTATATATTTTCAGGTTATTCTTTTGTTGTTAATACGCAGCATAAATAATTGTTTTGTATTTATCTCTATGTGATTTGACATGAACACTTCATCCCTGGCTGTTAGATGTAAGTAAAGTAATGCAAATCCACAAAAAGTTTCACACTTGTTGCTTTCTTAATACAATTACTTATGCTTATGTAAGTGCTTATTTTACAGTATGAAATATGACTTGGAGGTGTGTTGATCCATGGTTATGTCCTAACAACTTCAAGGAATGTATACAGACCCATATATGACAATGATAATTTTCCAGTTCTCTTGAGGTAATACATATATGGTGACACAGATTGACAAAATTGTTTGTTGTTTTCTTATTCCAGTTGGTTAGAAACGAATTCTGAACATCTTGTAGAAAGGGACTATGAATCATCTTGTAAAATATGGAGTGGAAATGAAATGCTCCTAAGTTTGTACAGAATGGGCATCACCAACGCTACTTTTCCTGTTTTGCAGGTATGGTCCTCCCCATGGCATTCATTTAGTCAACTACATGTCACCTAGTGATAAAAGCCATAACACATCCAGGAATTTAAAAACTTAACAGCTTAAAAGCTGTTTTAGAAATTTCTATGCAAATCTGATAACCATTAGGTGATAATACAAATAGATTATTGTTTAGTTTGAAAAGATAAGACTTTAAAGGTGTTATTCTTTATTTACAGCTAAAAGAAACCAATATTTTTAGGTTGTGAATGTTTTGTGTCAGTTATAATAATTAGAATTTCAGAAAATAAAAAGTTCATTGGAAACAGATTGGAATTTTGTGGAGAGGTGGTTAGACCTTTAGGAACCTCATTGTGAGTATCGCTTTTACACATTCTTCTGGATAGAGGTTCCATACTTTTTTCTTAGTCTCAAGACTCTCAAGACCCTTTAGCAGGAGGGATAAGAATATTTTGTTCTTTGTTGTTGTTCCTATTTAATTATCTAAACGAAGGGACTTTATTTTTTAAGAGTAAATATAAAGAAAATTTTACTTGCCAGGCCTGAGGTATGTCTCAATAGAGCACCTGCCTAGTTTTGTTGTTGGTTTGGTTTTTCTAGACAGGATATCTCTGTGTAACAGCCCAATCTATCCTGGAACTTGATTTGTAGACCAAGCTGGCTTCAAACTCAAAGAGATTCACATGTTTCTGCCTCCCTCGTGCTGGGATTAAAGGCATGTAGCACCACCATGCCTGGCCCTTCCTAGTATTCTTGAGTACCTGGATTCATCCACTAAAACAACAGCAACAAAAATGGATACTAATAAACTTTGTCATATGGTAGTCTCATTACTAAAACAAAAACAAAAAAAAGAGTTGTTTCCTATATATAATTTAGGCATTTAGGCAAATACAAACTCTATTAAAAGTCAATTGGATGTTTTAAGTTCATTGCTTCTGAAAGGTACTAAATAGCACACCAGTTGCCTGAAGAAGTTATCCTCCTAAATGTCTTTATTGAAGCATCCTATTATTAAAGTGTCTTTGACTCAGAGGACATGGAGATCCAAACTCCATTGCTGGGCTTGGGTTGTAGGTCAGTTACAGAATGAATGTATGAGGCCTGAGTTTCATATGAGGCAAAATAGAAATGCAAAATGATTTGCGTTTCCGCAGTCATGTATACCAGCTTCATTTTGTATTTATACTTTGCAAAGGATTTTCCTTTTGTTGCCCTCTCCACCCCCTTTATGAATAATATGGTAATTTCTTACAGAGACATTTTTCAGCTGTTCTTCAAAAAGAAGAAAAAGCCTATGGCAAAGAGGAAGCAATACAAATACCTATCATTAGTGCTTCAACTCAAATAATGCTCAAAGGACTCTTTATGGTGTTAGACTATCTCTTTAGAGAAAATAGCAGGTAAGTGAGGATACCTGTTTTGTTGGCTTTTTTGATGTTTTGTTTTCATTTTAGCCTACTGGTCAGCAAAATGGCTCAACCAGTAAAGGTGCTTTTTTTAGTTTAGCAACCAAGAGTTCCATCCCAGAGCCACATAAAGGTAAAAGAAGAGAACCAACTCTACAAGGCTGTCTTCTGTCCTCCAAACACAGTAATAAATGAAAATTTAAAAGATCAGCCTAATGAGTGCTATTTTTACCTTAGTAAGAGAGTCTTTTTTTGAGGGTGAGGGGGCTCAATGCAGGGTTTCTCTGTGGCTTTGGAGGCTGTCCTGGAATTAGTTCTTGTAGACCAGGCTGGTGTCTGCCTCTCCTGAGTGCTGGGATTAAAGGTGTACACCTCCACCGCCCGTTAGTAAGAGAATCTTAAATGTTACAGCTATATAGATGTATAGATTGTTCTTATTGACACAGACTCAGATCCATTAAAATGTCTTTTTCTCATTAATGAAAATAAATATTGAAATCAGTAAATCAGTGCACTTAATTAACTATTTGAATTTTGGTCCTCCAGTGCTACGTTTAAAAATCTTCATTTTCTTTTAAGGATAATTTGGGTCTGTGTCTACCAGTATTTGAGAGCCCTTTTCTTTGTACGCTTTGTTTTTTATTTGAGGCAGCATTTCATGTATCCCAGGCTGGCCTCAAACTTACCAAGCTGAAGAGGATGGCCTTGAACTCCTTTCTTTGTTGTTTTGTTTTCAAGACAGTGTTCCTGTGTAACAGCTCTAACTGTCCTGGAACTTGCTTTGTAGATCAGTCTAGCCTTGAATTCACAGAGATCCTGCGTGCCTCTGCCTCCCAAGTGCTGGGGTTAAAGTGCGATACCACCACCTGGGTCAACCTTGAACTCTTGATCCTCCTGCCTTCACTTCCCCAATGCTGGGATTACAGGCCTGTGTCACTGTGCCCGGCTTATAGTTATAGTTCTAGCTTCTGGGATGTTTGAGTGTTTTAAAATTATATTATCATGTCAAAAATTCATGAAACTACTATCTTAACCAGTGCCATAAGCACTCCTGCAAGGTGCAGTCATCACCACTATTCATTTCCAGAAACTTTTGTTGTTCCAGACAAGGATTTTACATATATAAAGCAGTTCCTCCCCTTGTTACTATCCCTAGTCATTTCTCTTTCCTTTTGTTCTTTCTTGTTACTTCAGACACAAGCAGGCATACAATGTTTGCCTCTTTGGGTCTGACTTAATTCATTCAGTATCATTCTTTCAAAACTCATCTGTGTAGTGCATACATCAAACTGCATTCCTTTTTATGGCTGAATAATATTCTACTGCACAAGTATGCCACATTTTTTAATTAATCTTTTTATATTGTTAGGTGTTTGGGTGTTTCTGCCCTTTGCCTACTATTTATTTTGCTGCTATGAATATTTGTGTACAGGTGGCTGTTTGAGTCTGCTTTCATTTCATTCCTCTGGATGGATGGGTTTTACCTGGCAGTGGAACTAAAGATCCTGTGACAGTCCTCTTTAACTTGGTGTTTTGCACAGCATTGGACCTGCTGTTTAGCAAGTTCTGAGGCTCTGACTTTTCCATGTCCTTGCTCATGAATTCTTTCTGCTCTGGGCATTTTTTTTTAAATTAATAGTCCTCCTAATGGGTATTAAGTGATTCTTCCTCATGGTTTTGATGTGTATTTTCTGATGACTAATGCTCCTATGACTCTATGTACCTGTTGGCCAATTGTATGTCTTCTTTGTAGAAATACTCTATCTAAAGTCTAGTGTCCATTTTTAGTTGACATGTTTCTTTTACTTGTTGATTTGTACTTATTCATGCCATTGGGATACTAATTCTCTGTCAGATAGAAAATGCTTTACAGGTCATTTTTACTGTGTTGGGAGTTGTCTTTTCACACCTTGACTGTGTCATTTTTTTAATGTAAGATCATTTTTATTTTGTTCTGGTTTGGTTTTGGAGGGTTTTTTTTGGTCTCACTGTGTAGCCAAGCCTTTCCTAATACTTTTGATTACCCTGCCTTAGCCTCCTGAACGCTGGGATTATATATGTGAACCACCCAATTCAGTAGAATTTTTTTAGTTATGAAGTCTGATTTACTTATCTCTCTTTTTAAAATGTACCATAGAGTTTTATAGTTTTGGGATTTCAGCATTTTCATAAAATTCTCTTCACAATTACTGAGTCTTGACTTGAATTTAGAGATCTGATCTCTCCAAAGATGAAATTAGGAGTGAAATGTCATGAGAGCAGAGTTGAGAATGCCACATTTTATCCTGAGTGAGCCTAAGCATTTTATAGATTCTTAGTGACACAGATTGGTGGGATCATGTGTACCCTGATTCAGTAACCTCAGGAAAAGGAACTCAGGGGAAGACCCAGATGAAAATTTTATAATTCAGATCAGTGAGATGGATTAGCAGGTAAAGGTGCTTGCCATCAGCACCAACTTTGATCTCTGAAACCACCATAGAACTGACTGGCTCTTGCAAGGTGTCCTCTGACCTCTATATGAGTGTCCACGCATGTGCACACCCTGGAAAGGGCATGTCCCCACACATGCACAAATCAAATGAAAAAGTTTTTTAAGTTTTATAATTTTAATTGCTAACACTTTTAAAACTTTCTTAAAATTACTTATTTTCTCACACAGTATAAAAGCATAATTTGTCCTTGACTTTCTTTAATGATAATTTAGGTTCTTTTCTTAATAACTAACAATCTAAGTAATATAAGGTTCAAAGATCTGGAGTTGGAATTTAGAAGGCATGATGTGAGTTCTGGTTCTGCCATGGGTTATGTCATGTTTAAAGTGAAATCTGAAAGTGGCTAATGAGGTTAGCCAATTGGATAATTTTAATATTTCTTGTAAGAATTTATTGAATTCTGTGATTTCATAATTTACATCAGAATTACTGACTTTAGTGATGAGGACTTTATTTTCTTTGTGTGGGAAGGCGTGGCAGGCTGAATTTTACAATTATCAGGTTTGATATTATATAGCTTGATCATTGTTTTATAATGTTTTGTCATTCAATTATCATTGTCTTTGCATTTAGATTCGCAGATGACTATAAAATTGCCATTCAACAAACTTACTCCTGGACAAATCAGATTGCTATTTTTGATAAAAGTGGGGTCTTGGCTGTACCAAAAAATAAGAAACATTCACGACAGAAAATTGGAGTTAATGTGCTGAACTTTTGGTGCTTAAATCCAGCTGTGGTAAGTTCACTCTGTCCTAAGTGCAAACTTATCTTGACCAGAACCAACAATTTAGTGACTGTATTTGGCTTTTTAAAAAGATGATCTCATTTGTTCCATGTTTCTGTGTAGGCCTTTTCAGATATTAATGACAAAGTACGAACCATTGTTCTAACATCAGGAACACTGTCACCTCTGAAATCCTTTTCATCTGAGCTTGGGGTTACATTTAACATCCAACTAGAGGCTAACCATGTTGTCAGTAACTCACAGGTGAGCTGCTTTGCTTGATTTTGTTGACGCTCTCAGGTTTTTCACCTGAGTATAATTCGGTGGAAGGAAACACTGATGCTGTCCTGGCAGCTTTGCTGCTTTGGACTCAATGACTACTAAAAGTTCCTCGTTTGAGTAAGTTTTAGTTTCGCTATGAAATCTAAAAACAAGAAAATATTCACTTTTCTACTATAGTTCCTATTTGTAATTATTTCCTTTTTTCCATTAGACTGTAATATATTCTTATTTTGTTTATTCATATTTAAAATTGGTGTTTGTTGTACCTTCATGAGTTTATGTGTGCTGGGTTCATGCAGATGCCTGCTTGGGCCAGAAGAGGCATCCCTAGAACTGGAGGTGCAAGCATTTGTGAGCCAGGTGATGTGGCTTATGAGAACCATCGTCTTCTGTAAGAACAGTGCACATTCTTAATCAATGAACCATCTATCTCTCCATCACCTTTTTGTTTTGTTTAGACAATGTCTTTTATGGTCCAGGTTAACATTAAACTTGCTATATAGTGGAGACTCCAGGGGACCAAACTAGGCCCTCCATATATGAGAGACAGTTGTGAAGCTTAGACTATCAGAGGGGCCCCTGGCAGTAGAATCATGATACAAACCTGATACATGAGCTAGCTTGTTGGAGCCCATTCCCTATGGTGGGATGCCATCCTCAACCTTAATGCATGGTAGAAGGGTGTAGCCCCTATGTTCTGTTTCAGACTTTTTGACTTATACTGCCAGGGGCCCCTCAGCTAGTCCAAGCTTCACAACTGTCTCCCACATATGGAGGGCCTAGTTGGGTCCCCAGGAGTCTCCACAGTTGTAGGTCTAGAGTTCATAAGTTTACACGAGCTTGGTTCAGCGGTCTCTAGATTTCTCCATCATGATTTTGAGCTCAGTTGATCATATGTTCTCTCCTCCCTCTCTCCAAGTGGATTCCCGGAGCTCAGCCTGGTTCTTGGTTGTGGATCTCTGCATCTGGTTCCATCAATTACTGGATGAGGGCTCTATAATAATAATTGGGGTATTCATCAATCTGATTACAGGGGTAGGCCAGTTCAGGCATCCTCTCTACTATTGCTTGGAGTCTTAGCTGGGATCCTCCTTGTGGGTTCTTGGGAGTTACCCTAGCATCAGGTTTCTCCCTAAGCCCATAGTGGCTCTCTCTATTAAGATATCTCTTTCATTGCTCTTCCACTGCATCCCTGCCTGCCTTGGCCATCTTGTTCCCTGCTGTTCTCCTCCCCACCATCTCATCCCCCTAAATCCTTCCCACACCACCCATTTGCCCCATAGATCTCATCTAATTTCCCTCCTCATGGTTATCCATGTGTCCCTCTTAGGGTTCTCCTTGTTACCTAGCTTCTCTAGAACTGTGGATTATAGTCTGGTTATCCTTTGCTTTACATCTGACATCCACTTATGAGTGAATACATGCCATGTTTGTCTTTCTGAGTCTGGGTTACCTCACTCAGGATGGTTTTTTCTAGTTCCATCCATACTGGATTTTTTTTTCTTTCTTTCTTTTTTTAATTTTATGCGCTTGAGTGTTTTGCCTGGATGTGTAAATACCATGTTCCTATAAAGGACAAAAGAGAGCATGGGATCCTCTGGAGCTTGAGTTACTGATGGCTAGATGTTTGTAGTTACTGTAAGGATTACAGTATTATCCAAGAGTTACAATAATTTGGATAGGTGCCAACCTAATTCTATTCACTTAATCAAAGGTATTGAAGATTTTCAGTTTCAAAATAAATTTCTGCTAAGTTTGTTTGGTCATCTTTTTTCTGTAAATCACTCCCAACTAAATACTAATTTTCCTGCTTTATTTAGGCATAACTCTAATACTAAGATATTCATTTCTAGGTTTGGGTTGGTACTGTTGGCTCAGGACCCCAGGGTCGGAATCTCTGTGCTACCTTCCAGCATACTGAAACATTTGAGTTCCAGGATGAAGTGGGAATGCTTTTGTTATCTGTGTGCCAGACTGTGAGCCAAGGAATTTTGTGCTTTTTGCCATCTTACAAGGTAAGGAGGTTTTTACTGTTTTTTTTTTTTCTCTAAAAAAGATATAGGATTACCATGATAAACTTCATAGAGTGAGAAACAAGGTAATTATGATTCTGTCAGTATCATGTTATCTTATCTATGATGATGGTTGCCTGATTATTTTACTACTGCTTCACTTAAAAGTCTTACATGGCTTAACAAAGATAAGACCCATTTTGTTTTGCTATAAAAATGTTATTTCTATAAGAGGACTGTTTATCTGTGGTTTTTATTCTTACAGGCAGCTTGTTATTTTCATAGTGAAGGAGACAGGGTCTTCTTTTTTAACTTTATTAAAATGAATCTAAGCATCCTTTGCTGCTTGTGGCTTTGCTTCCTGCATCTGCATCTGGTAGTAATTGTTGTAGTGCTTTCTCCTCCCTCTCCTGCCTCTTCATTGCTCTGGGGTCAGTCCCAGAGCTTGGTGATGCTAGGCATGTATCATTGCATTGAGCTGCATCCCAAGGCTTTCAGTCTCTATGTCTTTTGTTTTAACGTGGCTCTTTTGTCATCACCATATTTTTGGACCGTGGTGGTTTAAACCAGATCTGTCAATGTATTTTGATTGAAAAGTTTACTATGTTTATACATAAAGCATTAAGCAATAGTAATTAAGCAAGGAACTCTGCTTTTTTCTTTTTTCTTTTTTTCTTTTCTTTTCTTTCTTTCTTTTTTTTTTTTTTTTTTTGAGAAAGGTTCTCACTGTTGTAGCCCTGGCTATCCTGAACTCTGTAGACCAGGCTGGCCTCATACTTCCAGAGTTCAGACTTCTTCTGCCTGTCTAGGCTGGGAATAAAGGTGTGTGCCAAGAGTCCCAATTACTTCAGCCATTTCCCTGTTTTCTTTGTTCTGTCTTTCCCCTTATTATTTGCTACATCATTGGTAGTTCTTTCTTTAATTTTTTTTTGTACTGACATGCAGTGGTTTCCTTTTTGTTTTGTCTTATGTATATTTTAGTAACATTTTTAGATTTATTTTATGTCAATGAATGCTTTATTTGCATGTGTATCTGTGTATCATGTGTGTCCCTGGTGATCAAGGAGGCCAGAAGAGGACACCAGTTTTTATCCTTCTTCTCTATAGTTGGCATCATGGATGTTGTAAATCGAGTTCTTAATTGGTCTAAGAAATAAAAACCCAGAGTCAGATATAGAGAAAAATGTTGAGCCCTCAGAGAGAAGAAGAAGCAAGCCACAGCCACACCTTACTTCCTTAGAGCCTCAGCAGACAAGAGAGTGGGTTCCTGTTTCTGCCTGCTTTTATGTTCTCTCCGCACAGCCATCTCCTTCCAGTCTGTCTGTACAGACCTCCAGACCTCTGTGGTTAGGTAGTGGCAAGCTCTATTCTCTGACCTTCAGACAGGCTTTCTTTGTATAAGCAAGTTATCACCACAGATGTAACCCAAAATTTGCAGAACCGTTTTCTACTAGGAAACTGACTACACAGAGTAACATACTCTTCTCCATCTTTAGAACAACAAGGTACCCAGGTGGGATTGACTCACACAGAAGAGATTCATTGTCTTTCCACTTGGGAGGCTTGAAACCCAAGATCAGATATTGGGCATTATACTTTCTTCAGAAATGTCTATCCTAGACTTGTGGCGGCGACCTTTTTGCTGAGTTCTTAGACAGAACTTATTTTGTGCTTTAGTGTCCCTGGTATTTCTAAATGTTCAAATTTCCTCTTTTTATGAGTATTAGTTAAATTGAGTAGGAGCCTCCCTGTAGAACTCATTGTAAAGAGGTAGTGGGAATTCAGGCTTCACTGTAGAAACTTACTGAAATAGTACAGCCTGGAGCTGGTGAAAACAACTGGGGTTGAGAGTTCTAAATGTTATGTATTATACTTATGGTGGGAATTTCTTAGGTGCATTTTGTCAAAACTCATTAAGCTTAACAGGAATGCATTTTCTAGTATGTAAATTGTGTCTTAAGGAAGTCATTTTTTTTCAAATAGCAAAATGTCAGGCCAAATATGACAAAAATTTGCATTGTAAACTTCATTACAGTGTGTTTATCTGGAAGGGATTTAAGATCTTCTTACCTAGGAACATGGTGTATTTTTTTTATTACATGGCACCTCTATATACTTTACTAAAATGAAATAGTTAAGCCAACAATCTAACAATACCTTAATTACTTTTCCTGTTCCAAAAGTACTGGACTGGAGAGTCAGCGGAGGGTTTAAAGAGCATGTACTGCTTTGCAGAGGACAGGAGTTTGGTTCCTAGCCTCATATCTGGCCTCTTACAGCCACCTGTGATTCCAGCTCGAGGGGATCCTGAAAGCAGTTCTTTTCCTGAAATCATCCTTTTCTGACCACGGGCACCTGCACTCATGCACGTATCCACTCATAAACATAATCAAAAATAAGATAAACCTTAACTTTCTTTTTAAAACGTGTACAAACTAATACATCCATTAAAACAAGCGGGTAGTGTTTCAGTATTAATCTAACAAAAAATAACTTTTTAATATTATAATCTGTACTGAATACTGACACTTTTAACTATTAGGGTTTTCCAGAGAAGTAGACCAGGCTGAGGAGGGGCAGAGAGGAAAATGATGGCCCTGTGCTGTACTTAAAAGCTTTGCTTCCACATTTTAAGAAGGCTTTCTGCATTACCAGGGTTAATAATTTAAATGCTAATTTCTGGGAAATTAGCATGCAGAGATGCCTGGGCTTCCTGTGGCCTAGGCAAGTTGATGTGCATCACAAATACATTTCCCAAATAAATCAAAATAAAAGCTAAGCTTATAAATATTGATTAAAATTCCATTGCACTTGTAAGTTTTACTTTTAAGTATATTTTCCTTGTAATATAGTTATACAGTTGGTCTAAAAAAGCCCACAGTATGTGGTTTTGCTTTGTTTTCTGTGTAGGAGACTAAATGGCATGCTAAAGATTAATTCATCCATAAGCATATAAAACGAAAATTCAAGAAGCTTTGAGATTATGGTGACATATTCATAGCAGTTGCTTGTGTTTTAAACAGAGGCGTTCCTTCTGAGGAATCTGTATTCTGTCAGAAGAAAATAATATGCTTCATTAATTCCTAAGCCTAAGCTAGTTCTTATACTCTTTTTTTTTTTTTTTTCTCTCGGAAACAGGGTTTCTCTGTGGCTTTGGAGGCTGTCCTGGAACTAGCTCTTGTAGACCAGGCTGGTCTCAAACTCACAGAGATCCACCTGCCTCTGCCGCCCAAGTGCTGGGATTAAAGGCGTGCGCCACCACTGCTCAGCTAGTTCCTATTCTCTTAACTACTCTTTTCAATTACTGTTTTTGTCAAGTCTACTGACTACTTTTTCCTATAAATTTCCTTTAATATCATCAATCTCCTGTTAGAGTTTAAATAGAGCCTCACAGGCTCTGTGTTAAGCACTCATTTCCCAATCAGTGGGACTGTTTGTAGAGGTTTTGGGAGCTTTGGGAGGTGGAGCTTAGCTGGAGAAAGATGGTCTCTCCGGGGCTTATCATTGGGAACTGTCTTGCCTTGGGCTTCTTTCTCTTTGCTTTTCTCATTCTGCCTTGAAAGGCCCCCTCCTGCTGCCTGGAGGTTCTGCCCAAGCACATAAAGCCAGGCAACCTGTGAAACCAGGAGCTAAAAGAAATCTTCCTCGTTTTAAATTCTCTCAAGTATTTTAGCCATAGCTTCATAAAAAATAGCTAACATAGAAAAGTGGTATCAGAGAACCAGGGAATTGCTTTGTCTGACTCTGATCATGTGGGTCTTCATCCTCTGAAGTTTTTTTGTAGGAGACATTTGGAAGCAGCTCAGTGAACAGTTCCAGTGGGGGCTCAGAAGACCAGAATGCCTACTAGAAATAGAGGTGGGAAGGGCTGTGGTGGGAATTGGACTAGAGCTGAGACTTTTGTCTGACTGTGACAGTAATGGAGAAATTAATTTGGTAGAAGAAATTTCAAGACAGAATTGCTTTCAGGCTCTGGCATTTTTACTCTTGGAAGCTTTACAATGAGAGGTTTACAGTGAGAATTGGGAGCAGAAAGTGTAGTAGAAAGTTGAAAAATGCTCAGTTCGGTCAGAAAACGAGCACATTTAAATTCATGGAAAGAAGGACTCTCGATTCCCACGTTAACCAGGCTAAAATTAGCTAGGTTCCAGGAAGTAGAAATTTCAACTCATCTGTAAAACTCTATCTTGAGAAGACAGCACTACTCAAGAAAGGGCTGCCAGAGAAAGTATCTTGTCTGCTCAACCACACAGCCTCTCAGGCCACTGCTGTCACAGTCCAAGGGAGCGCTACTGCTGCAGCTGCCGGCAGACCATGGCTTCATTTGCTGATTTGATACTCATTTTGTAGGCATACAAAATGCAAGAGTACAGTGTCATGAATTCTTCCATGCTTGGTTTTTTTTTTGTTTGTTTGTTTGTTTGTTTTTGTTTTTGTTTTCTTGTGGTGCTGCTAATTGAACCCAGAGACTTTGTGCTAGGTAAGTAGTTGTTCACTGAAGCCCCACTATATTCTTTGAGTCAGGTTCTTGACCAAGTTGGCCTTGAGCTTGTGATTCTCTTGCCTTTGCCTTCTAAATACTAGGATTACAGGCATCAATCACCACATCTGGCCTCTTCTACCTACCTGTCTTTCGAAATAAGCCCTGGAAAGTACGACATGTGAGTAGAGTTGCATCCGTTAGGCAGTCTCTGAGGAGGAGATGTGTGCAGATAAGAATGTGAAATCTAAGCAGTGGAAGCTCCAAGATGTTAGGAGAAGACTCAAAGAACAGAAACGCTTGCCAAAGATAGCCATTCACATGAGAGGCTAAAAGTGAGGTCATGTAGGCTGCAGACAGCTAGGCCATTAGGTTGGAATTGCCCAAAGCCTTTAGAGCTGACATCATGACACTTTGTGCCCCAGGTATAGGACATGGAACTACTGAATTTAATGTTTCTGTCCTATATAAGTCACATCCTTCCTCTCTAGGCCCAAATTCCTTCCATTTGTAGTATGAATTT